CAGAATGGGCCTTGATCTCACAGCCCTGAGATTTTTTACCTGAGCTGAAATCAAGAATTACTGATTTTTTTAAAGATTTATTTATTTATTCATGATAGACATAGAGAGAGAGAGAGAGAGAGAGAGGCAGAGACACAGGCAGAGGGAGAAGCAGGCTCCATGCCGGGAGCCTGATGTGGGACTCGATCCCGGGACTCCAGGATCACGCCCTGGACCAAAGGCAGGCGCCAAACCACTGAGCCACCCAGGGAATTACTGATGTTTAACTGGCTTTGCCATCCAGGTGCCCCCTAGTTACCTTAAAAAAAAAAAAAAGATTCTTGACTTAATTGCAGTAAGAAAATATGGTCTGTGCAATATGCAAAAAATTCAAAATTTGTTGAAACTTGCCATATGGCTCAATCTATGATCAACTTTAGTGAGGTTTCTGGGTGGGCTCAAAAACAATTGATTTTTTTTTTCTCACTCTATGATCTTGCATTTGGAGTCCCAACTTTATTGAGACTTGTATTTAAACTGCATGCTTAGAGCAGACTCTAGGCTTTCACCTCTGTCCCCAAGACTCCCAAGGTTTGGGATAAGTTTTCTTGGACAGAAAACCAACATTCAAATTCACTAGATTCAGCGAATACCTTCCAGGCAAGAGTTGACTTTGAGTTCTTTTTAATTCACTGGTTTCTGGCCTTTACTGTATCCTGGTGCTACTGTTCAACTTCTTGCAGTTTATAGATGCCAAAATATATTTTTAATATTTTACTCAGTATTTTTGTTGCCATTTTCATTGAAAGAGTTAGTCCAGACACTTCCCTGAGCATCTTACTAGAAATGAAAATCCTTATTTTATTTTTCATCAAATATTTATTGGGCACCTACTATGAGAGGAATAAAAGCTATAATTCTGATCAAGGTGAACTAGTAGCATGAGAAAAAGAGTCATTGGGGTAGGATGGTAGAGGCAATTAACCAGTGGTGAAAACAGGTGGTTAAGTATACAGGTTTGGGAGTCGAGTATGCCTGGGGACAAAACCCAGGGTCACTGCTTACTAGCTGTGAGACTTGAGGCAAGTCACTCAAACTCTCTGTGCCTCAGTTCCTTCATTAATAAATTGGTGTTAATGATAGAGATACCTCATAGGTTTGTTGTTGGGATTTCTAAAAGAACCAAGCATACTTTGATGGCTCAGAAAATGCTAAGTAGTCTTTGTCCTGTGAAAAGGATTTTGATCTATAATGGTACCAGAGGATATGAAATGGAGAATCTTGCTCATTCACCCACAGAACTGAACTTAAGATCTGAGAGAATGATTTCCTGTAAACGCCTCTTTTACAGAAGGCTGAGACTTATTTTTTTTGCTACAGCACGAATTTCCCAAATTGCTGTTCCTCTGTTATTTCCTGATAAACCAAGTTCTGTTAATTCGAGCTTGCATCACTTCACTTCTTCAGTGGGATTGACAGTCCTCAGAGAAGAGATGCATAAGCTGGGAACAACAAAGTTATTTCTCTAAGGTTTAATCACCTCCCATGGGAGCTGCCAGAGGGAGGGCATAAAACGACCTCCCTTCCAACTCTGAGCTGGGGAGACTTGATTCTTATTCTAGGGAAAAATCCTCCCCACTTCTGGGTTCCCTTAAAGAGAACCTTTTTCACTGGCTCTCTCCGTCTTGACCTAGATCTGTTCCTCAATGAGTTTAGAGGGTTGGGAATTAAAGACATAAAGGGAAAAAAAAAATTAAAGACATAAAGGAAATGTCTTGCAGGCCACTTCTGCTTTCCAGAAGTTCCTTGAGACAGTCAGAATGCCTGACTACATTGTTAAAATGGGGTGAGGGTGGGAGGGAGAAAGAATAAAAATGTACGGAGAAAGATAGAAGTTAGTATTTCAAAAATTATCCTGTTTCAAAAGGAATGGCTAAAGCACGCCAGCCAGAAGGAGTAGGAGAGAAAATTGGAGAGAAAAAGAACACCCAGATGCCATGCTAGAGAACTTGGGACTTTTTCCCTCCAGGCATGGATTGCCAATAGCTTGTGCTATAGGTTGATCTGCAATTCAGAGTGGAGGTTACTTAGAATTGTGGAGAACTGGAGGGCAGAAGATCAGCTCAGATATGTCTGCAACGGGTCCTAAGACACACAGCAAGGGCCTCAGCGCTAAAGGGGTGAGGCCACGTGGTTGTGCAACGCAACTGTGGAGGACCCTGCAGGTGGCCAACATGGCAGTTCTACAGAGAGTCTTAGCGTAGAAATGAACAGATTTGATATACGTGGAATGAGAGTAGAGGGAAATGAGACTCCCTATCATGTTTTTTTCTGGCTAGGGTGACTAAATGGGTGATGGTGCAATTAGCCAGGATAGGAGATTCAGGAGGAGCAGGTTTGAAGAAGCAAACATGATGGGCCTGAATTGGATGTCACTGTGGGCATGCTGGTGAAGATGTCTAAAGCCACCAAGCACAGGCATGAGGCTCTCAGAGGAGTTTGTGGCTGATTGGAGGAGGGGGAGTTTCAAGAAGGAAATCGTGGTCAACTGTGTCTTACCCTGCAGAGATTGTGAGAGAGGATACTGAAAGAGACCCACTCTATTTGGCAACCAGAAGGTCATTGTTGACTTTAGCCTGACCAGTTTCAGGTGCTGAGGAGGAACAGAAGCAGAACAAGATGGTGAAATGAAAAAGCAGAGACTCCTCTTTCCAGGTAGCTTGGCTACCTTGGGGAGCGAACCTGCGATAGAAGTTGATAGCCTCCCTTCCCTCTCCTCCTCTTGCCCCTTCTCCTCCTATAAGTAGTGGGAGAAGTCTGAACCAGCTAAAGCTAAAGATTGAATCCTGAGTTGAGAAAGCAGGGAAGACAAGAAGAGTGAAGGTCCGCCACGGAGCTGGAAGGTGGTGGGGCCAGAGGACAGGTGAAGGAAGATATTCCTTCCTCTGACATTCCAGTGGAGTAGGTGGGTACCTCGTGGTTCCCCGCAGACTTCTTCGGCATCATGGGCAGGAAATGAAGGGATATCATGCAACAAATATTTAATGAGTCCCTACTTTGCTTAAGTCGTGGTGTAAATTAGGTAGACACCAGAGAATGAGGAAATATTAGAAATGTGAATCATTCAGAGGTACAAATCTAAAGTTGTCTGGAGGAAGGGAGGGGATGTCTAGGGCTTCCTGAATGATGAAAGGAAGGAAGGAAGCTTGACAGAGTATTTCCCTCCCAAGGCAGCAGGTAGCAAAAATAGCCCGAGAGAAACAGGAAAAAGTCTTATGTGGGAAAAATGGAAGAAAGGAAAGAGGCAAACAGTAACAGCATGTTCCAGGTTCTAAACATTAAGCTAAATTAGGCACTTTATAGGCAAAACAATCCTGTGAGAAAGGCATTACTATTTCCATTTTATTGATGTAGAAAGTGAGGATCCAGTTCTTTTTCTGTCTTCAATTCCACTTCTCCATAGAGGATTAAAATGCCTTGAAGTATTGGAAGAGGAATTCCAATTCTTGTCTTTTAAAATTTTCATTTCACTTGCAAGCCAAGAGAAAAGAGGGCAATTCTTAGTGTGCTCGTGCCGTGAAACTACGTAGTCTCAGTAGGGCCTTGGTTAAGGATGGGCCAAAGCTTGGCTGAATTCGAAAGAGGCCAAGGAACTTAGATGAGGAAGTGGTTGCCCTGTTCCTTCTGCGGAACCGGGGGAGGGGGGGGGGGAGGCCTGGCAGCCTGTTTGCTGGGTCCCGCACAGCCAAGCCACAGCAGGCTCCGTCGGTGGGAAGAAATGTGCTGCCGCCGGGCTCCCTAGGCAGAAGCTTTATGTAAATGCCTAATTTCCAATATGGATTATCATCCACGGAATGCATACTGAGAAATTAAGTGACATTTGGAAGTAAGACATGCACTTCCATACATAGCTCTTAATAATAGAATAGGCTGCAAAAAAGATAAAAACCAGTATGCAGTCATAGACGCTTTTGACAATTCCTCTCTTCAACAGTGTATTTTTAAATGTCCTTTTAAATATAAGGGAAGGGAGAAGAAATGTGTGGGAGATATCAGAAAGGGACACAGAACATAAAGACTTCTAACTCTGGGAAATGAACTAGGGGTGGTGGAGGGGGAGGAGGGTGGGGGGTGGGGGTGAATGGGTGACGGGCACTTGACGGGATGAGCACTGGGTGTTATTCTGTATGTTGGTAAATTGAACACCAATAAAAATTAATTTATAATTAAAAAAAATAAATAAATTCAATTAGCAAAAAAAAAAAAATAAATAAATGTCCTTTTAATAGGATCGGGGAGGAGTGGAGAGTAACCAAACAGGCTCCTGGTGGTCACAAGTGGATTATAAAGCATTCGACTGCATACCTTTTTTTTGCACTTTATTTTTTTTAAAGATTTTATTTATTTATTCATGAGAGACAGAGAGAGGCAGAGGGAGAAGCAGGCTCCATGCTGGGAGCCCGACATGGGACTCGATCCCAGGTCTCCGGGATCAGGCCCCGGGCTGAAGGCGGCGCCAAACCGCTGAGCCACCTGGGCTGCCCTTTTTCACACTTTAATATTTTGCAGTCGGGCTCTAAGTTCCACCCGACGCGCCGCAACGTTGCCATGGGGTCCAGCAGAAACTTTTTCTTTCTTTCTTTCTTTCTTTCTTTTTTTTTTTTAGAAAAGCACGGCTAGCGTTGTGCCGGGCTAGAGGCCGGGGCTCCGGGCCCTGCGGCGCAGGAGAGGAGCCGCCGCCGCCGCCGCCGCCGCCGCCGCCGCCGCCGCCGCCGCGCGCTGGGCGAGCGCGGGCCCGGGCCCGGGCGGGAGGCAGCTAGGGCGCCGCGCGGCCGGGAGGCGGCGGCCGAGCGCGGCGTCACGTGGCCGGGGAGGGGCCTGCGCGCCGCCAGCCCGCCCGCCGCTCGGCCGCCGCCGCCGCCGCCGCCGCCGCCGCGTCCCATTCATGAGGGCCGCCCGGCTCGGCTGCGGCCCAGGCGGCTCCGGAGGCAGCGGCGGCGGCGGGCGCCCGGGCCTCGCGCGCGTCCTCGGCCGGCCCCGCCCCCTCAGCCCCGGCGAGCGCGCCGTCCAGCCGCCGCCTCCCCTCGGCCGCCCGCGGGCGCCGGCGCGGGTCGGGAGCGGAGCCGCCGCAGGTAAGCGGGCGCGGGCCCCCCGGTCGCGGCGCGGCCTCGGCGCTCGCGGGAGGCCGGGACCCCTGCCCCCGCGTCGCCGCCGCCGCCGTCACGTAGGCCGCTCGGCGCGCGGGGCGGGCTGCGGTGGGGGCGCGGGGCCGCGGGGCGGACGAGGACGGGGACCCCCTGAAGCGTCCGGGTGCCCCCGCCGCGGCCCGAGGGGCGGTCCCTGAGGGCGCCCCCAGCTCGCGGGGTGCTGGCGCGGAGGCCGGCGCGGAGGCCGGGGTGACGCGCGGCCGAGCGGCGCGCGGCGAGGGGGCCCGGCTGGAGGCCGCGCGAGCCGCCCCCGCCCCCGCCCCCGCCCCCGCCCCCGCCCCGGGGGAGGGGGCCCGGCGCACGTGAGCCGCAGGGACCCGGCTGGGAAGTTGCTGTTCCGCGGCCCCGGCCGGCCGTTCGCCCCGCGTCTCTGCCCCCGGCTGTGGGCCCGGCCCCGAGTGTGAGTCGTCTCTCGCGTCTCGAAGCCCCGTTCCCCTCGACACGTCTCAGTCTGCAGCGGACGTGTTAAGAGCCGGTTTCAGAGCAGGGGCCTCTCTCTCAACTTTTAACCCCGAGGGTCACCATTTTCTCCCCTCTTGTGAACAAATTGAGAATATTCTCCTTGAGAATTTCGTGTGACATTTTGGAGGCATACTTAAGAACCAGGACCGGAAACATCACCCTTCCTTTCAGAAAGTGCTGGAAGTCTGAATATTCGGAAATGCTATGGGAAGGGTTGCTTAAGCCGCTCTACTAATTTTAAATCGTGCATTTCGGGATGATTTTTCCGAACCTGTTTGTTTTAGACCGAAAAAGAGTCTCTTGAGAGTCTTGGTGTCAGGCCAGGTCCTATTGCAGCTCTTTGCCCAGTAGAGATGCCCTGTGTTAACTGTTTATTGAAATCTCGCCTGGCTGGTTCATGATTCTTTGACAATGCGGTTTTGAGATCCATTTGAAATATTTGCAAATTATTTAGTGGCCCATATGGTTTGTATGTTGATGGTCTGAGTTTAGTGGCTTAAGAATGAAAAGCGTGGCCGGCGATGCTGGGGTGGGGTGGGGGGAGATACGGAAGTGGGGGGGGGCTGCTGAGGTAGGGGGCTGCTGAGGTAGGGGGGCGATACCGAGGTGGGGGCCCCTGCTGAGGTGGTGGGGTGATGCTGGAGTGGGAGGTGAGGCTGAGGTGGGGGGGATGCTGAGGTAGGGGGGTGATGCCGAGGTGGGGGAATGCTGAGGTGGTGGGGTGATGCTGGAGTGGGGGGGATGCTGAGGTAGGGGGGCGATGCCGAGGTGGGGGGGGATGCTGAGATAGGGGGGTGATGCCGAGGTGGGGGAATGCTGAGGTAAGAAGGCCATGCTGAGGTGGTGGGGTGATGCTGGAGTGGGGGGGATGCTGAGGTAGGGGGGCGATGCCGAGGTGGGGGGGGGTGCTGAGATAGGGGGGTGATGCCGAGGTGGGGGAATGCTGAGGTAAGAAGGCCATGCTGAGGTGGTGGGGTGATGCTGGAGTGGGGGGGATGCTGAGGTAGGGGGGCGATGCCGAGGTGGGGGGGGATGCTGAGATAGGGGGATGATGCCGAGGTGGGGGAATGCTGAGGTAAGAAGGCCATGCTGAGGTGGTGGGGTGATGCTGGAGTGGGAGGGGAGGTTGAGGTGGGGGGCCATGCCGAGGTGGGGGCGATGCTGGAGTGGGAGGGGAGGGTGAGGTGGAGTGGGAGGTGGAGGGACCATGCTGATGTGGGGGGCGGGGGGGGGGGGCGGCAGAGCCCACAAGGTGCAGGGGAAGGATTCTGGTGTTGGCCTAGTGAAGCATCCTCACTTTGGCCGAAGGGCAGTCCACCTCAGTCCCAGTCTGGGTATAAAAAGCAGGCCTAAGGCCATCTATGAAATTACACTGGCCAGTGTGGGTGGCTTCTTCCAACTAATGTATGGTTAATTGTGATCTATCAGACTGAAGTGTAAGTAAATGTTGATAGAGCTGTGGAATGCTGGAAATGAAATGTTCTAACGTGATGGCAGAGTTGAGAACCAACAGAGAAGCTTTATGTTTAAGAGGAACTGGAAATGGGAACATTTGAAAACCATTCAACTCTATAGTAAAGCCACTGTTGAGAAACAATTAACAGAGTCAGCTGGGCGTTGTGTCCTTCATTGCCCCAAGAATGTAGCAGTGAAGGAACTCCTCACCCTGTATTGTAATTTTTGGTTTACTGAGTGGACTGTCATCTGCACTGGACTGAAGGTCCTCCAAGGCCAGACTTTGGTAGCTCCCTGGTACCAAATGCAGACCCAACTTTTAGAAAAACCTCCATGGAGGTCTGTTGAATAAAGGTAGGAAGCAGCAGTGTGTATATGTGTCCTGACCAGTGACCTGAGAGCTGGTGGCACTTCCTGAAGGAGTTCACTCAATTTTCCTGAGCTGTGAGCTTTGGTTGAATAATCCTGATGGTGCCACGCATTAGAGGTGGTAAAAGGTTAAATTAAGCTCATGAGTCTTAACAGGGAAGATTTTGCAATGCTTATTTTAAATATTAGTATTTGGTTTAAAGATAGCTTGGCGCTCTGTGTCAACAGCTATTTCCCTGGGTATGCTGTTTTGTATACAGTATTTCCTCATATAAGGCAGCACAGTAACACTTAGCTGGAAGCTTTGTCTTGTGGGGAGATAGATTCAGCACCTCCCTTAGGTGCTTAGTGATGTAAGTCAGAAGGTTTTTCTTTAAGTCTGACTTAAGTCCACCTGCCTGCCTTTAATTTAAATCCTCCCCTTTTTGCTCTGACCCGATAGCTGTCATTGCGTGTGTGTGTATGTGTATGCTTATTATCTTGCCAGTGAATGGCTAGACCGTGGTTTGGGACGTTTGTTTTGAAAGCCCATTTTTATCTGTTTTATTAGCCCCAGAGTCTTTCAGCTGTCATTTGCCGCCATCATGACGAAAATAACTCACAGGTTCATAGGCAGAGAGCCTCCAGTTGACAGAATCCTATGTGGATTGTCATATTAAAACTTTGAGGATAATTATTATAGGCTGGAGTAGTAAGCTTTATGGCTGTATCAGAAGGCCTTCAAATAAGATTTCTTGGTGGCTTTACTAGCAGTTAACTGCACTTCTTGGAATCTACCTCCCCTGCTGTCAATTTGATTCTTTATTCTTTTTACTGACGCACTAACACTAAACACTTTACATGTGTACGCTCCTTTACTCTTGAAGACAACTGTGTGAGAGAAAGTCGCTCACCGCTGAGGTCCAAATGAAGCAGCTTAGGTGTCTCTGAGAGTCAGTGGCAACCTGGGTGTGGTGGGGCCATTCCAGCTCTGTGCTCCTCACCTCTGGCTAACTTGATCCTGCCCAACCACAGAAAGCTTGGCCCATATGGCTTGCCTCTGCTTTGAAATTCTGTGACTGGATGATTCTGCTCTTTTCAGCCTATCTATAAGGAAGAAGGAAAAAAGAATCTGTTAGGAGATAAGCTGTGTGGCAATGCAAGATAAAGCTCTGAATGTGACTTTGAGGATTAGAATGAAGATAAGATACAGTTTTTAAATTTGATTCATTGACTACGATTTAGATTCTTTTTCCTGTAAAGCCCCTGGATACTGAATTTCTGTCCTCCTATTTTTGTCAATTTAAATTGGTGTTAAAATTATTACCAAGAAAATGAAGGAGCCAGAAATCATTGAATCTGTAAAGCATAACAGAATAGTTACAGCATCAGCTCCTTTTGCTTCCAAATTTTACCTCTGTACAAGGAGGATACAGCTGAAAGACAAGGTGGGTTATATGTTAGAAGTACGGTTTTCTAAAATTATTTTTATTCAGGTCAAATATGTAAGTTGAGAGACTACATAAATGTGTTAGAAAAATGGGGGATTCATAGAGATCTTTTAAAAATCCATTTAGGATAGATGTAACTATTTTTGTAATCTTTGAATTTAGAACTTTATTATGTGGTGTTTATATTTATCTGTATTGTTCTGTATTTTCAACATGAACCATCCAAATTAGGCTTTTCTCCTTCTTTGGAGGATGAACACCGGCTCATAGAAAAGGCTACCTACTGATGTTCAGGTAGCTGGAGGATTGCCTTAATCTGACTTGTTGGCATATTTGAGCAGTTTAGAAAGTCTTTACTTCTGTAGTTACTGTAGTTGGTTTTATGAATAGTAACCTAGTTTCCTGTCTTTAATTCATATTCTTTGTTTTTGTACCAATTTTATTTTATTGTTTAATAATAGGTGTATTTGCCTGAACTGCCTCGAATTATTTTTTTCAGCCAGGCAAAGCATACGTAAAATTTAAAGTGATTTATAAATTTTAACTTGTTTTCAACTCCTGGCATTTTTTTTTTTTAATCTTTCCTGTTCAAGAATCTCCAGTGATCCATTCTCACCTGTTTTAGCAAATGTATTTTTCCCATCTCCGTTCTCTCATATCAGTTTGCTCCCTACTGTCTCCACCTGCCCCAAACATTTACTCATTTTCAATACTCACTTTCCTCCATGAACTTCAGCTGTAAGAGACATTGATCTTGTTGTGTTACTTTGTATTTGCTCTTAAGTCATCTGTGGCATTCCTCTAGCTGTTAGTTGATATTAAAGTAAATAACTACTGTCTCCTTAATTTTCAAACACCCTGTGTGGCCTGCAGGCAGTGCTAGTTTGCCTCCTTTTTGTAAATGTGTAACTAAGAGAAGGAGTAGGGGAGAGATGGACTGTTGAATAGAAGTGATAAGAAGCTAGCCTGAAAGGTTTGTCAGATTGTAGTAGAGAAAGTTGGATTTGAGGAGAGGAGGAAAGAATGTTCAAACCTGAACACCTGAGGATAGGATCTGTTGATTTTTAAAAGTTAACCGATGGAGAAAGATGAAAGGACAGACCTTCATAGGTTGATGTGCAGAAAGATCCACTAGAGTGAGCTGGAGTGGCTGTGCAGACCTGTTTATTTGCAGGGTGGTGGAAATTCTTTGAAGGTTTGTTGTGCTGT